GTCTAAGAGCACAAAAGCACTGACTTGTACATCGGCTGGCCCCCGCAAGTCATTGTATAGGCCACATCGCATTCAAACGCCACTACGAATGTACAAATGGAAGTAGAATGCGTGCCGCATCCCAAAAGGGATTGATCAACGGCAAATGCTTTATCCTTTATCCTTTTACCCCTTATGGTCATGAATTCGATTTAACTCGTCTGAGAAATGGTTGTAAAGCAGATTTACCTGCCAAGGCCAGCCGAGGGCAGCAGCGCCGAGACTGGCTGTGCCAGGGTCGCCACATTGGCTCGGGTCAATGCAGTTGTACTTGAGGGTGCCGGAATAGTTGTAGTACACATTCGCTGCATTGTACATCATTGTAGCCAGCTCTTCGTCAACGAAATTGTTGCCCGGCTTGTTCATGAACTGACAGGCGACCTGAAATTTGTCCCTTTTGCACTTGTGTAATAGTACTAGGAAATCTGAAAGTCCGATTATTTGGTTCTGAGCTAGAAATATACGTAACACGCCCCCTTACCTGCACCGGCCAGGCAGGAAGTGGTTCGAGAAAGCCCGTGGAATATGGATAGTCGACCATAGCCATGTACTCAATGGCTTCTCGGAAATAGTAGTTGAGATTCCATCCATCATCCTTTGTCTTTATGGTTGCTTTCGGATCTATCTTGAATTGCGTGTTCAGGAATTGACGTCCTTTATCTGAAAAACTTGGAATGACGTTGCCTAATGGCCGGGTGAATCAACGAGCATACGCTACTCGTCGTAAAAATTCGAAAAATCACGCGAAAAACGCGATTTCGCGTTTTTTCGTTTTTTCGTTATAACTCGGTTCAAAATTGAGATTTTCAAAATCTGAAAAAAGCATTGAACTCAGCTCGTCGAGTTCTATAAGAATATGCTTTTAAACTTTTGGAAAGCCCTACTTCAGATTGCGCCATGCACTCGAGCTTCATCTCGAGAAAAAATTGCTTGTATGTGGTGCGCATATAATCCCGCTTTTTGACACCGCATCTCTCCTTGTGAAAGTTTCACAAGAATTCTAGGGTATGGGCGAAATCCATGGCCCCGGCGGGAATTGAATTCCCATAACTGGCTTAACGAATAGCTATAAAAGGGTGGGACTATTTTATCTCAATCCACTAGTCAACCTGACCCCTTTCTGCGGTCTTTGGGTTGTCTTGGAACCGAACTTGGAATTTTTGTCTTTGGCGCTGCCCCCGCCCAGGGTCAACCGTGCGTTGCACGACTCTTAACGGGGTCGTATTTGAGTCTTTTTCGGAGGGGACGTATGAGAGTTTGTGAGTGGGATAAGACTGGAAAAGGGGGTCGTGTTTTCGGAAGTCGGATTGGTTGTGGAGGCAAGACAGGGATAGTGTTCGAGTGATTTCTTGACGATTTTGATAAGCCTTAAAAAGTAAATACGAAAAAGACAAAGTCGGCACGGCACGGCATCTTCAAACATCGTTATACCCCCCCCCCATAGGAAAATGTGGGTGGAGTTGGTGGGTGTAGGAAAATGTGGGTGGAGTTGGCGGGTATAAGTGGTCACAGAATCAAATACCATAGAAACAGCCACAGGGGATGAGGGAAATCTGGGATGAGGGACGTTCGTGCTGGAAGACTCCCTTAACGCCGATGGTGGCGGTGAGGGGTCGTATTGAGACCCGCACCCCCCAAGAAAGGAGGTCGTAAAATTTTCGGTGATTGGAACGACGATTGACCCTGCTCCCATCTACGGCGAGCTGAACTCTGCTTGGTTCGTTAATTCATTTTGATTATCGTATATCGTGATCCATTCTCCACCCAGCCAGCAGGTTTTTTTCGATTCTCAGAAATGCCAAAATGGGGGCTGTAAAGGGACTTGAGATGCTCACTCTATTTCAGCGAAAGCTCCGGGGCAGGGTCGGTCCTATCGTTGCTACTTTTCGAAAAATTTTTACGACCCCCCTCCCCCAAGGTGGATTTGATACGACCCCCTTTTCCCTACCTCCACCATCTCCATCTTCCATCAAAACCCCGCCCACTTTTCCCTAAATTTTACCAATACCCCACTACTTCCATTTTAGGGGAGTATATACGCGCGCTGAAACGGCAAATTTTCTCCCGCGCCGCTCCCCACTCATCACATGCAACTTCTTACAACCGAAGCAAGTACGACCCCCCCTCTACAAACTCATCAAAATACGACCCCCCCGTTGCTACTTGTAGCAACATAGGGTTGACCCTGCTTGGGGAGAGTTTTCTACTTACCTGTAGAAGACAAGTTCAGTATGGCGTTCCAGCTGTTAGCAATGATGAAACGATTGCAGTTCGAGGTCTCGTACGTTCTTGTTGTGATGGAGTCGAATGTACCTTGGTCAATGCCACCACCTTTGAAGTAAAGCAGTGGAGCGGATGCTGCCAAGCGCTATAAAATTGGAATAATTCTTGGTTAATGAAATAAGTAGCATAGATGTTCTTACCCGGTGATCAGATGTGGATACTTCATACGGAACCATGCGGACAACATTCCTCCATAGGATCCTCCAAATGCTATCACTTTCACGTCACTTGGGCACGAGATACCAATCGAATTGTTAGGGGCTCGTAGAAGAGGAGAATGCCAATTATATATATAGGAAAGCTTTAAGCCCAACTTAAAGGCATTATTCACGGTCGTCATGCCTGGGGTAGTGGAGTCAAGTATGAAATGTGTGAAGCGTGCTAGATCGACGTACCCATTAGCAAAAAAAGCGTTAGAAAGTGCCGAAAAGGCCAAAGCCAGGTATTTATCGCCAAGCAGCCATTTTTGAGTCAAGAAGGAGGCGCGGGGTGGGACAATGTGACGAAACACTGGACTGGGGGGGGGGAATGAAGAGACTAGAGACGGCAGCGATGCAGGCTCTTGACAAATTTCAAGGCTGAGCGACAAAAAGGGGTGGATTCATGGAAGTGATGGGGTACCTGACAGGAGGCCCGTCATGTGGCGAGAAGGCAGAGAAGCAGACGGGATACAGACGACCTGCAGCGCGGACTCCAGTGATTGGGGCGCGCCAAATTAATTCCAAACAAACGCACGTCCCAATATTCCACAGCACGCGGACTGCTGATGCAGGGTCAACCGTCATGTTCGAACATTTTCGGGATTTTTGCGACCCCCCCTCGAAGAGGGTCCAGTTGCGGCCCCCCCCAATACAACCAGCCTTCCTCCACCGCGACCTCTCCCTCTTTTATAGTATTTGATTCTGAGACCAGTTGACACAGCCCAAAACCTACCTAAAACTCCGAAACTCCACCCACTTTTCCCCCAAAAACAGCCGTCGAGGGGGGGGGGGTATATACAACCAGTGAAACGGCAACTTTTTTCGCACACACCTATGCCCTGCGCCACTAATCACCAAGGCGCGCAATGCGACCAATGCGACCCCCCCCCCCCGTTCGAACTGTTCGAACGGACGGTTGAGCCTGTGCGATGGTCTGCTGAACGCGTTGGCGTTTCTGCCATCTCGTCGCTCGACGGGCCTAGTGTCGGGAACCCCAAGTAATGACTGTTGGGTCAACTACTACAAGTAGGTTTATTTCCAATCGCAAGACCGCTACTTTCTTGATCGCGGGCTGTGCCTTTAAGGCATTAATGCTGATGTGTTGCGAATTATCAAACGTCACCTTCAGCTCAGTAATAAGATCGGCATAGTCAGCGAGTGCCTGCTCCGATGTCAAATATCCCATGTTGGCGATAGACTGAAGAGGAAAATGAAGTCAGAAGGAACATTGTATGAAAAGGTAAAAGTGGCAACTGACTGCATAGGATTTGTTCCCGAACGGTTGGCTTTCACCATAAAAACGATGCTCGGCAAAGATGATGGCAGCGTTGTACCGGGGCGCCAGATCCCATATCATTCCCTAAACAAAGAAGTCAAAGAACGCAGAGGTATGTGGTAATAGTTCAGTAGAAGCATAGTATGGCTGACCGTTGCCGATGTGAAACCTTCGATGTCACCCTCGTTTCCTGTGTAAAAGAATATTGGTCCTCCACTCTTGTAATAGGTGTTGTTCCATAGCCACCTGGGTAAACAAGTAAACATAACAAGTAAACAAAAACAGTCAACTACTCGATATGTTCAATAATGTGGCGAAGAGGGTGTTTTTGGCAACTGGGCCGCCTATGCGCCCATGGCCGAGCGATCGAATCCCGGATCGGATATCCCCAAGCCAACCATAACTCAACCCTTAAAAACATTGAGAGCGTAAAGCAGCCGATAAAGCATGCCATTCTGTAGCCCATATCGTTTCAAATGACGCCCCATAAGGGAAGAAGGATGCACGGCATACTCCACAATGGGTTTTATCACCACAGAATGCATTACCAATCGTCGTTCAGGTTAAATGGCTTCACGAATTAAGTTCGACGGAAATTGCAGAGACGGTAGTAATCTACCCCAAACTGGCTGTCAAGAATAACAACGAGGAAGAACGATTTTGAATTTGAAAGGTAACCAGATCTAAAGTCCTCCGGGGGGTTTTTGCTGCGCGTAACGTGCGTCACCTGCGTCTCTCCAAACACATTGTATTTCGCCCTCCGCGTCCCGTTTTCTGTCAGCGAGCCCTTCCTGCGCGTTTTACGGCTGCGCGTAACAAGGAACCACCCTGCCAGGGAGCTGCAGCTCACCTGGGAAGCTTTCTTCAGAGTTTCATAAATAGGTCTCCTAGGTGCCATAGAAGCGATTTCCACCATCATCGGAAAAACTTGCACCTCCACGTTAGGCCGATGTCAGACTTTGCGAATCGCGCGATTCGCTACTAGCGATTCGCGCGATTCGCAAAGTCTGACATCGGCCTTAGAGTTCATTAAAGGAATCTTCCACGGAAAGAGTGATCATTTTGTCTTGTGTGTAGGATTAGTATTATCGAAACTAACGCTTATGTTCCGTTCTTTTTGCTACAGTACTCATCAGTGCCCCCCTTACTATAAAACATATTGACCCACTAAATCGAAATGGGTTACAGCATATCACTACCGGCTTATATCCAGCGAAATGCTTGTGCAGTGGCTAAAAGTGGATCACTTACTTCATTGGAAATTTGGTTGTGTC